ACATATAAAAAGTGTAAAAATTGTCATCAATGTCAAACAATAGTTGAAGATACGTCAAAGATATGCACCTTCTGGGAAGGAAAGGAAGTTTATTCTTCCTTATATTCAGTCCAAATAAATAAAAGAACAAAGAAACAACTAAAAAATGACCTACCATAAAATATAAGCCTAAAAGCAACAAAAGACATGACATGTCCAACCTCACAAAGAACCAATAGTGAAAAAAAATTAATAATTATACATGTAAGGTACACCTGCTAGAGTCCAGCAAAAAGTTTCTTCATCTGCTATACCCCAGACATTCACAGCCACCATTGCACCAAATGATTGATACAAAGCCCCAAATAATCTACTCTGACCACAAACTAATAATTTGAGCATTTATTATGGCACCCACCCTCTGAAATATACTCAATTCGAACAGATGCATTGAGGACAACAATAAGGAAATACAAATTTTGAGTGCCAGATGAATGAGGGAGGACGAAGGCAGAATTACACGCAAGTACTAATAACTGTTACAGCTTTCTCAATGTGAGGAGGATTTACCTGATAATGGATGGCATCAACCAGAACGACTAGTAGACTAGACTGGTGGGCAAACTTATTAGGATGAAACTATAAAATTTTGGCCTAACTGTTAACATCAGCTGATTCGAGTGGTTTCTAACAAAACCTTGAAGGAAATGCTAGCAAAAGAACAATATCATTGGCTACTAAAGAATTGGACGCTTACAATAGAGATAACTTGGAATCATTTATGCTAGTAAAAGTGCTTATTGAATCTATAGTTCAAAACCCCACAACTAAGCTACTTACCACAAGGGGACATGCAGCAAAAGAAAGAAATGGAGAAAATAAGAAAAATAAATGGAAAGCAAATTTTGAGTGCCAGATGAATGAGGGAGGACGAAGGCAGAATTACACGCAAGTACTAATAACTGTTACAGCTTTCTCAATGTGAGGAGGAGGATTTACCTGATAATGGATGGCATCAACCAACTGGTGGGCAAACTTATTAGGATGCAACTATAAAATTTTGGCCTAACTGTTAACATCAGCTGATTCGAGTGGTTTCTAACAAAACCTTGAAGGAAATGCTAGCAAAAGAACAATATCATTGGCTACTAAAGAATTGGACGCTTACAATAGAGATAACTTGGAATCGTTTATGCTAGTAAAAGTGCTTATTGAATCTATAGTTCAAAACCCCACAACTAAGCTACTTACCACAAGGGGACATGCAGCAAAAGAAAGAAATGGAGAAAATAAGAAAAATAAATGGAAAGCAGAGCAGTGAGGTGGAGGTAACTTAGAAAAAACTAAAAATAAAGCGCACAAAATACAAAGAGCAGTGATCCAAAGACTAAGGTATATGGTGTCGAATACAAGATGAAACATCATGGATTTAGCATCTTTATTGTGCAAAACAAAGTTGTACACCTATGTCACTTGTGGCTTAAAAGTTACAGGTTTGGTAAATCAATTACTTAATGGCAGTTGTTAGAATATGAAAATAACCAAAAAATCCATTATGGCGCTTTTATGTAGTAAGATATGGAATAGTATTTTGCAATCATGACCACAAGATATAGTGGTCCTGCTAGTAGAGAATTCCCTATCACTATAGGCTTGCACCAAGGTTCTGCTAATTCCTTAACTTTTCACCTGAGTCATGGTCCAGGGATAAGCTCACGACATATTAAAGATGATTTCTGTTAGTGTATATTAATGATATAGTTTTAACTGATGAGACTAAGATTGATTAAATATGAAGTTTGAATTTGAAGCATCTTGGAATCTAAAGGTTTTATAAAGTAGGCTTGGATCTAGTAATGAACCAAAAGGATGGTGAAAAAAGAGTTACATACTGACCTCAAATTTATTGGCAACGTGGTTTAGTTTGTAGTTTTGTATATTTTAATAAATTAAACTAAAGCTTATGTTTTTTATACATTGCACATTTAATATATGTAATAGTGGAAATTAAATGAGCTCGTGATTACTATTGTTCAACCAATTTACAACCGAGAACATATTTTTTAAACTTAATATTTTGAAGTAATTTGACAAGTATAATATTTATAATATGCGAACTATTTAATAAAACAAATAGAATTCTATCTTTCAACCAATTTTTATTATATTTAACTAAGAGGATTACAATAAATTAAATTAATACTTATTACTCAAATTAGTTATAAAAAATGATATGCTAAAAGTTCTATTATTTAAATAATATTGCATTTATTTAATAGGAATACTGCTAGGGTTAGGCTATAGGTAGTGCCATTGTGAAATTAGTAGAGTACAATATTACTTATTTGGATAGTTAGCTCTGACCAAAATAAGTATTTTAATTAGAAGTAACCAAAAAAATCTAAACTTTTGTGTTTATTTTAGGGAGGGGGAAAAGGATATGCCCGCTGCAAGCTTTAGATGAAGAAAAGGAATGAAAAACATGTATGCTGGTGATGATGAGACAGTAATAAAATATACTGTGATTTTCTTAAAGATCTTGCTGGTAATGATGATATGGAGGACTTCTTGTTTTTTTCTTGTTCTGGTAGCAGATTAGTAATCCTGTTATGTAATTACTGATTAGTACTTCATTAATTTATTACTTGCTAATTTGTTGATCCTTTTTAAAGATTCTAGTTCCAAATCCAACTTTTAATTTTGTTGAAACATTTTACCATGGATTATCCAACTGGTTTATGGTTTGTCATGAGCATAATTTTGCATTCTTATAATTTTTGATTAATTTTATTGGTTTATTTGAGGCTTATATCAGACCTAACAGGCAGAACACATTAATACTCAACTTGGTCTTTTGGAACACCGTGGTTCGGGAAAGGAATATAATTGGTTTTTGAGATTTAATTGTCTAAACTTCATCTACTTGTTGTCGGAGCATAAGAAATGAACTGTAGTAATTTATATCTTGCTGAAGTACAACAAAATAAAAATCGGACAGACCAAAAGAAAATGAGGTGGCAGTGAACATACCTGATTCTATGTATAATCCACATGGGAACCCTAACAGTCTGATTTAGCAGTATTTTTGGAAGTGCAAATGGTAAGCATATGCTGAATTGAAGACTTCGTAAGATTCCTCAGAAAATATGCTGGGATAAGATAACAAGCAGAATTTTATGCATTCTAATTCCTAAAAGGCTGAATCAGACATGAATAGAACTTCTGATGACTTGGAGTACAATTCTTAGCAAGGGAAATCATGCGCATATGTTTCTGATGGAAAGAAAGAAAGAAATAAATAATAGGGACATACTTGTAGATTAAGTAGTGCATGCCAAGAAGGAATCCAGACAAGCAGTTGAAATTAGGCATTATCAGAAATCAGTCTCATAGCTTAGCAAGCATTAGATACTTGTACAAAATCAAGCAAGAGCATTCAGATTGGGACGAGATAAAGCCTCATAAAACCTGCATTTCACCAGGAGAGAGTTGTTCTGCACTTATATCTATGCATATGAGCAGCACTGGGGGCACATGAGGAAGATACCTGGATCAATCACATTACATCAAAAAGACACGAAGACCCTGAGAGGAAGGAAGGGGTAAAAACTGAAGGATCCATGTATTATGAGTTTGACAATCAACTCAACATCAAATTCATGAGAAAAGCAGTATCAGAAGTAAGATGCACAAAGGCTCGATAAACACAAAAAGGAAAGAAAGCATCCTATGAACATCTGCCATAGGTGAGTAGATCATATCAGGCAACATTGGTAGAAACTATGCCGCTTGAAAACAGAACACGCTACTAAACTTCCAGCAACATCTTTATAAGATTTCCTATGGAAGAGAAGTGAGTCAATCGGAAGCCTATGACCTTGACCTAAAGAAGCTTGAGAGGAGAAACGATTGAAGGAAGAACCCCAACAATGAACCAGAATTTTCATCTATATGGGAACAAAAGTATCGTCATAATTTAAGCGGCCATTATGAATGCTTGAATCAAGTTTTCAGCTGCACGCTTCTCCTCAGCTGTGCCAGATATTAAAGCCACGCGATCACCTCTGGAAGATTTGGAATCTGAAATCTCTATTGCTGCACCAGATATCTGGAAGAGAATGGGTGCATATGAGAATGTAAGTTCAAAGTGAAATGTTATACTCATGCACAAATCACAATAATCCATACAGCCTAACGTGACACCAAATGCATACTCCCCACCCCCAACCCCACCCCAACCCCAAAAAAGCCCTTCCCAAAGTTCCAGGATTTTCAACGTAACAGCTCATCTATAAAGCATCAATACAGACACGTGCGTCCTGCACGTGATTTTTTAGTAAAGTACTGACATGACACGTTGGTTAAAAATAGATTCCTTTAGTTTTATTTTCTGAAATATTTTTCATTTATTTTATAATGTAAAGCAAATAAAATTTTGTGCATATAAGCAAAGGTTTGTGAATGAGAGAGCAAATAATTTAAGAAGGGCCGAATGATTTTCAAATGGAAAAGGACCAATTGCATTTAAAATTTAGGACGCGAGGTTAATTGTATAGATTAATTGGTTGGAACATCGATTAACTTTAAAAAAAAAAAAAAAAAAAAAAAAAAAAAAAAAAAAAAAAAAAAAAAACTNAAAAAAAAAAAAAAAATAATAATAATAATAAGCAGCTGACCTTTTATATCTAGTTGACTATTATTATAAATTGAATTTGTCTTTCATTTAATGGCGTGAAATTTGTTTCCGAAAAATGGTAAAGTCTTAAAAGACAACATCAAGAACTCTGGGTTAAAAAAGTTGTGTCTTATTTTCAAGTAGAAAATCTAGGGTCCGAGGAGTAAAGAGAACACTGGAAGAAGAATAGCTCCGGAAAGAAGGATATGAAGAAATAAACCATCATTCTCATCATTGAAAACATCGTAAATGGAAATCCAAGTTAGTTTTTGCTTTGCAGTAATTGTTTTGGTTACTTTTCACCAATTCGGCATGTCGGCGACATGTAGTCAAGTGCCTTGCGGTAGAAAAGCAAAAGAAAAAGGGGGATACGCCCCATGGTGTCTCTTAGACATGTGATGGAAGCATGTCGGCGTCATGTGGTAGTTGGACACGCATTGGACACTGGCATAGTGCCTGATGCTTGTCGGTGCATCTGAACAGGTCGGGTTATACATGTGCCTCGCCTTTCAATTGATGTGATTCTAAAGTAATGGCTCAACAGACACGACACATGTATGGCTAAGCTTATAAGCACCTCATAAGCTTAGTCAAACATGGACAATAACTTAGTTAATAGTGCAAAACATAAAAGCCAAGACTTCCAGACCAAAACACCCAAACTTAGCAATTGAAAAGAGCCCTAATCGTATCCGGACTGCCATGAGGCTGGAAAATTCTTATTATGCAAGCTAAGCAGGCTATCAATAAAGGACAACCGAAATAAAGATCTGCACCCTTTCGATATGTAGCTAGCCCAAATGAATGAAGTGTTTTTTTGGGGGGAATAGCAGAAAAATGAAGTGAAAAGTGGAGGAAAGTTCCAGAAATAGTGGAAGAGAAATAAAAACAGAATTGATCATTGCTCTGTCAATTGTCAAATTAAAATGACTCACCTTACGCATATTCTCAATATTCATGCCACCTTTGCCCATGACTTTACCAACTGCATATGCAGGTACAACCATTTCCACAGTTGAAGGTGGAGGCAATCTGCTCAACAAGGCAAGATTATAATCTAAGACATAATTTGAAGACTTCAGAAAAATAAGGTCCGAGACACATTCATGACATAGAAGACTAACCTTCCATACAATGACGATGAATGAGAGGAAAATGATCCATAGCCACTATCTCCAGTCTTTACCAAAGAGAAAAGACAAGGTTAAAGAGGAAAATCAAACCATGAAATTTGAAATTAACGATTGGGTGAAATGGCATTTAGCACTATCTGACCATAGCAGAAATTTCAGAAAAAAACTTTACAACACAAATAACATGAACATTTCAAGTAAATCAGTCCAATACTCCAGCAGTAATAATAATTGATGAAAAAAATTAAAATTAACATCCACTAAAAATATTACACATGACCTTCAGCAATAAGTGCTCGTACAAACCATCAATTGAAGGCAATCTAGGAATGGATGGGATTTATTAGATATATTTAGCAGCCAAGATAGAAATCAATTAAAATTCTTTACTCAAAACAAGAAAAAAATCCTCCAGAAAAAACGTATACATGATTTATCTGTGTAAATGACACATGGTATCACCTTGCCATACTGTTATTTCGCATAACTCTTAACTGATCCAGAAAAATAGCTATTAACTTAAAAGGTGTTATTCATTTCTTCTTTTTCTTTATATTTTGAGAGGGTTATCAACAAGACATTGTACCAAATCAGGATCTTCATTAAGAATAATGATCATAATTTGTTCCAATGCTTTGTTCGCAATTGCACAGTTTACTATACAAAAGAGGAAATGTCAAGTAGAGATAGACAGTGACATCTTTTTCCTTTCATACATGGGTCTACTAGGATAATAGCTTTCATAATAGCACAGTTGCTTACCAGCAGAGACCCATAGGTTCTGGAAGAAAGCAGGCCCACTCCACTCTCAGTTTCGGCACTGTGCTCATAAGCCATAGGAGCAGCTGGACGAATACTAGGCAAAACTGAGGGCACCGAGAAACCAGCACCACCAGAAGAAATGTGGCCACCTTCTTTGTCTTTTAACACATCATCTCGGAGCCTCAAGACAATCTGAATAAGTGCATCTCTCAAACTAACAACTTCTCCAACAATCTATGATGTGAAAAATAGGTTTTCAATAAATAAGTTACCAAGTACGAGACATTGATGACCAACAACATTAACACGAGCCAGATAACATATACCTCAACAAGTTCATCATTTGCATCTGCACATTTAGGCTTCTCGCCCTTGGAGATTTGTATATCAGCTTTAGTTCTCTTCCTGATTTCATTTATGATTGAACCACTTTTCCCGATTATATATCCAATAACCTTAGACGGAACAAGAAGCCGCAAAGTTACCGTATCATCATCTTCATCATTTATCTTTCCTTGCAGCAATAACACAGCTTCGACAGCTGTGGACTTCAGATCATCCAATGACTGCCCAAAACAAATATTGCACATGATTATTAGGAATACACGAGGAAATTTTTCCAATCTTGGTAAGCAAAAATTTAACAATTGACTTAAAATGACCAAAAAAAAAATTGGGTGAAGAAACTGTAAGAAATAATAACTGAATGAAGTTGTCAAACATGAACATAAGTGTTTTGCTATCACCTTTGACCAAATGAAAGTCCAAGCAAAGTGGACTACAGCATACATGAAATCAACTTTCTGGCATAAATTAAGAGACATAAAGACAGTAATAGTTATTCAAGAAAGTATTCCTTGCTTGTCAGCAAATTATTTAATCAATAAACGTAAACTGTAACCTGCCTATACACATCCATAAACCAAGCAATACTTCAGATTGGGGGAAAAAATGAAAAAATGAAAAGAAAAGAAAGAAAGAGTCCCAAGGTTGTACACAGAAACATCACAATTAAACTCAACCGTCTATAAACAACTAAAAGCAAACCCGGGCACAATATCCTTGATAAAATAAAGGTTTATTCAGCAGAAAAGAAGAATGACTGGTTTAAGTATTCGTCTTCTTCTAGAGTAATTTCAATAGATAAACTAAAAATAAACAATGATAGAGATGATGGCCATACCTCTGTTGAGATAATGCTGATAACACACTCATTGTAGTTGGCCTTTGGGTCCTCAACCTCAATATGGGCACCGCTGTCCTGCCTTATACGTTTGATGGAACTTCCTCCTTTGCCAATAACACGGCCAATTTTATTTGATGGACACAGCACTTTTACAGTCAACTCCTCTGATCGAGACATACCACCATAACCAGACACCATAGGAAGAGTGGATGAATAAACTGACCACGTGTTCCCAGCATCAGCACGACTGGGTATGTACGGTGCGTCTGCAGGACCTAAAATAGAAGGAACAGATCTAGATGGAATAATAGGATCTACACTTTGATAAAATCCAGTTGCAGGATATATGGGAACATCTGACGGTATGATTATGCTCGGAGGGGTTTCCGGGATAGAAACATCAAGAGGAATATCTTCCTTCGGTGAAAACTTGTACATGATAGCAGAAATGGCAAAAACTGCTTTCTTCACTGCCTCTGAGTCACCAGATATCTATCACAAATAAAGACATACATCACATTATACGACTAAACGAATATCAGTAACAGCACTGCAAGCATTATTGCTCTACAACAACAAAGACTTTCATAAAAACAACCCATAATGATACCGGTAAAGAACAAAAAAATTTAGGACTTTATCAATCTAGTTTTAATTCATTGCCAAATATTCTAGCTGAAATCAATGTAAAGATGACATTTACACTTACAAAATTCTAAGCAAAAGAAAAACTAACCAGGACAAAATTGTCAAACTCCAATGCACATGAATGAGATGGGTCACTAGCATCCTTGGAAGTGATCTTGATGTTTGTCCTCGTCTTGTTTCTCAACTTCTTAATGGTGGAACCGGATTTCCCAATAATATTAGCAGACTGGCTAGATGGAACAAGAATCTTACACTCCTCTATATTTTTGTAGTTATTCTTCCTGTCAAAATCCCCTACCATAGCCACCGCATTTGCAATTGCCTCGTGCATCTTGAGGAGCGCATACTGAGCAGGACAGAGAGGTTCCTTATTGTTGAATTCATCATCAACTTCAACGTCCTCCTTCTCTCTAACATAGCAATAAATCATGATAACTCTATCTCTAGCACCAGGAAATGGGTCCAGCACCTTGACCTTTGCTCTTGTCTCCTGCCGGATCGAGTTAATTACTTTTCCACTCTTTCCAATCACGCTCCCAATAACACTGTCTGGGCAAAGAATCCTATACACTATCAGTTCATCATTACCCTTCTCATCTCTATCGCTTTCTCTATCCACTCGCCTCTTTTGGTTCTTGCTATCCCCGTCATCACGATGAGAACGAAGGCGCTTCCCATTTTCACCCATTGCACGCTACACAATCGGTCTCCCTGAATGCATTGAAAAGTAATTCCTAACTTTGAGGTTGAATCAAAATCAGAGAGAAAAATTGCAACCAAATTTCACAAAAAATATAATCAATATAAAAAAAATCATAAAAGAAGGAAACTTTTTTCTTCTTTCCCTCTTTCCATATCACTTTTTGTTCCCATTTATCAGAGTTTTGGTCTAAAACGGAATAAATAAAAAATGTCTGGAATTCACTACCCCATCCATAGAGCTAAATTATATAAAACTATTTATGTATAATGAATCGATAAAAAGCAAAAAATATATTAAATGTATTAGCGACGATGCTGCGAGCAATTAGTCTGGTAGAATTGACGTATAAAACCCTAATGAACAACAATTGTACCTGGCGAAATTGAATTACTGAAATGCCCAATTGAAGAGTAAACCAACGCGAAAAGCGTCTGCGCAGTAAATTTATAAGTAGATAGAGCAAAGGACAGTGTGCGAGGAGTCCGGTGATGGAGAATGCAATATTGGAGACGGCAGTAACCTAAAAGGACAAACCATATGTAAAGACTTGTTTCGAGTTAATTGTTCCATTAGTCACTAAACTTAGTTTTATATTTTTAATTGGTCACTAAAGTTTTAGTGATTGAACTTAGTACATATTTTCAATTGCTCACTAAAATTTAAAATGTTGAATTTTGATCATTGAATTTTAAAAAATATTGTACATTACACGCTGTAAACTCTATATTTTCAAAATTCAACGTTTATATTAATTAGTAACGTACGACATTTTTCAAAGTTCAATGGTCAAAACTCAACATTTTAAATTTCAGTAAACAATCGAAAACATTAACCTAAGCTCAGTTACCAAAACTCAATATTTTAAACTTTAGTGATCAATTAAAGACATAGACATAAATTCAATAACCATTGGAACAATTAATTCCCTTGTTTCATCACATTATTTTCAAAATATATATTTTTTTTTTTTTTCAACCACATATTTTTTAATAAAATAATATTAAATCCAAATAAAAAATTGTTACACATTATCCGTCAATCTACTATTTAAAAATACATTCTTACAATAAAATGAGGCTCAAACTAATGATTAATAAACTTTAACCAAATTTAAAAGATTACTTATTACTCAACCATAATTAAAAATATATATATCCTCCATCCACTTGGCAAATAAAAAATCTTATGCGGCTAAATTAGTTAGACAATCACATATTTGCCCAATCGATCTTTCCCCAACTTCAAACACGACTTTACCTAATTGATTCTTCCCCAAATCGTTGAAGCAAATTCTCCTATGGCTTAAGCAGATTCCAAATGATTCTTCCTCGGATCCAAACCATTTTCATATAAGCTTGAACTCCAAATCAACAAACTTTTTCACATTGAACTCCAATTGAATAACCCCAAGTTTCACATGAACTCTAAATTCCTCTATCAAACTTCTTCACTTGTTATTTTTTTTTATATCCAATTGATGGTTTGGTCTTCGGATTCACGTGATTTTTGGAGATAATAGAATGGATTGAACTTTGGAGTTCACGTGATTTTTGGTTTTGATTGATTTCACGTGATCTATTATGCATGTATATGAATTCCAAAATGAACAAAAAATAAAAATTTAATCCCTAACAATTATTATTTTCAAACTCTTTTTTACATACTATTTTTAATCATACATTTACGTGACAAGATATTCTACTCGTAAACCAAAAGTTTTTCCATACTTTTAATAACATATTCTCTAAAAATTACTATTCAAAATATATATACTTTTTTTTTTTTTTAAGAATAATGGTTGTTAAACAGGGACTCAAGTCTTTTTTGGACTCAAAGCTTAGGGGGTGTATTCAATTGGGACTTTTGAAGATTTTGATGGACCATTTTTAAGTGATGACTTTTGTGGATTTCGCGGATCTTTTATAGATTTGTATGAAATTAGTGAAAGTATTTCGTAGATTTCTACGGACTTTCATTTTAAAATTTTTATAAGCTTTTGAAGACTTTCATTTGAAATAGAACTCACGTGGATTTGATACAATGTCATGAAATTCTCATATGCGAAGTGTTAATTTCTACAATTCCCCTTCTTCCCATATAATAAATTTTTTTTTGAGAAACTAAATATTTAAGATCTTGATTAAATAAATAATAAAAAAAATTATACATATATATGATTCTTATTAGTATAGTATACTTTTAAAAATAAATAAAAATCAATATATTTAAATTTAATTATAAATTTTTCATATAAAATTTTATACTTTAATAAAAGAATAGATATTTTTTCACAAAAACAAAAAAGTACCAAAAAAGAGGAAAAAAAGTTACAAGAATCCAATTTAATTTTTTCATAGAAAATAGTGATCACTAATAAGAGAGAGAAAGAAAGATAAATAGAAATAAATATAATTAATAAAAAAAAATTTTAATCACATATGTCCATAGAAATTTAAAAGAAAAAAGATTGAAAAAAATTGTGAAAGTTTCCCAAAATCTCGTAATTAATGAAAGACAAATTTTAAGATTTTATATAAGTACTTTCTACTTAAAAATTAGTACTCCAGAGACTTTTATAAAAGTCTCTAAAAGCCATTAAAATTTGAATATCCCAAGACTTATAAATACTTCTAAAATGTTTTAATTGAATAAATCGTAACTTTTAGAGACTTTTTAAAAGTCTATAAAAGTTTTAATTGAATACATCGTAATTTTTAGAATGTCTCAAAAAATCTCAATTGAATACCCCTAAACTTTTTAAATCCCAAAAAATAATTAAAAATCTCAATTAAATACACCCCTCAATTTTCTGTCCACGGCTTCCTTCCTGCATATTTTAATGAATGATTCAGCCGTTTCATTTATGTTTGAAATTGAGGGCACTCTCAAAAGAAGCTACGCCCGCCTCGGAGGAATCGATTTTTTGTGTCTTCATTTGGCTTATTCACCTTTGTTCCTTCAGCTAAAAGATTAGTACAGAGAATTCTCATCCATTTTCTTTATTTTTTGGCCCCATTAATTGATAAAATTATCTCTTCATTCGAGTTCCCTGCTTTTGATTTTGGGTTCCAAAAGATTTGTTTTCTAAAATTAAATTGCTGAAAATTCTGCTATGGAAAGTTTTAACGATTAATTAATTTGCATAAAGCTTATCAATTTGCATGGGGAAAGATGGAAATGATACTACATGCAGGACGGAGCTAGAGATTTCGTCCAGTGCAGGCACAATTATAAGTATTGGCTACGATGATTTTTATTTTTTGTCAAAATTACTCTATGAACAAAAAGAGTTTCATATGATCAATGTAGAGTACAATTTTTAACAATAGAAGATAAGATGATGGGGTCCATTGTATAAACAATAAATTGATGGGTCAATAAATTCATAACAAAGCCTATAGGATTTTTTTTTTTTTTTTTTTTTTAATCTAAAAGCCTAACTAAAGAGTAGGCCCAAAATCTAAAAATTAAAAAATACGCCCAACTCCTACCCTTCTTCTTCCCCCTACGCTTCTTCTTCCCTATTGTCGGCAAATGTCATTTTCTTCCTCCGGCTGAAACTTTCTTCCTCCTTCCATTCTTCTGCTTGCAGACAGCACACACTTTATTCTTCTTCCTTCCCTTTTCTTCCTCTTCTTCTTCTCTTCTTCTTGGTCCAGACGTCCAGTGCAAGTGAGGCACACTGGAGTTTCTGTGTCAAGTTCAGAGTCTAGTGTGGGCATTGGCCTGCACTGGATTCCATGTAGTTCCGCCCTTGACTACATTGTCCAATTTTAACTTCGTTAATGCCACGTAGGAATTTCATCCGTCCATATGGACGAATAGAATTGTTATGAGTGATTGATGGGTGTGTGTGTGTGTGTGTATAATGTACTTATAATGTGGGTGAGCAATAGTCATTTAAGGTAAAGTTCATCAAATCCTAATATCAATAGGGCAGGTCACCAATCACTATCGTTCTTACCCCATCAAAGTATTTTTGAGAATCGGGATAGAAATAATTTTCATTACCTTCTCATGTAATTATATATTTTTCAAAATATAATCTAAACTGAAAAATATAATAAAAGGGTGAAAGTGTGTCGTTCAGGGACAAAGCCTGGGAATTTACAAAAAAAAAAATGTTTATACTAGATTGATATATAGAAAAAAATTTATTATTTTTTTAAAATTCTTTTTCTACCTTGTAATTTTTAATTCCCCCCCCCCCCCCCCCCCCCCCCCCCCCTCCCAGCTGCCCCTAGTTTCCTCGTGAAGAATAAAGCGACATTCCCAATTACACGTCTCGTCCCTCGAACTAGCTATATTCGACACAAATAACGTCTCCCCCCTTCATCTCCTATTAAAGCGTGCTTCGCTAGACTTGGATAAGTGTATCTTTAATAATGTCAAAATCAAATTCGATTATTTACCAATATGAATGAAAAATTACAAGTTATACTTTACTATTTTGAATTTTTTTTTTTTTTTGACTTACAAAATATTTGCTTATAAGAAAACTTTTAGGCTTAGTTAAACATGCTTTAGTAAAAGAGTTGCTTAGATTAAAATAAATTTTTTGAGCTTAGTCAAACATGCTTCCTCCTTAAGAATTTTCCTTAAAGAACTCAGAGACCGCAGGGTTGGCATCCGAAAGAATTGGTAGGCAAGACAACATCGTAAGTTGATTGAAATGAGCTAGAGAAGGGAAGAGACTTTTGTCCAATTATTTGAAGGCCGAGCTAGATTGTTCTTTATATCAATTCAAAGAGTTCACCATCTACTTCTTACTGAATCAAAAATCACATTGATTCAACAGCTAAATATAATGTACAACCATCCCAAAGATGCCTACTCGATCATAAGAATTAGATACGTGTGCAAATTCCAAAAATCCTACTTATTGGGTCCCCTTTTGGCTCACGTTTGAGGCAATTCTACTTCTTGAAAACTAGCAATTTTGGTGTTAAAACGAAGGCCTCGACAAGAACTTTCAAACGTGCTAACATGCAAAAGCTAACTCTAAATGCAGTGAGTCCAAATGACATTTTAAAGCCCAGTAATGAAAAAGCCCACTAGTGGAAAACTTCTGCATTTTTATTTTTATTTTTGGTCATCCAGCCCAACTTTCTGAAATTAATCCATTTACTCAAAGAATTCATAAAATTATCAATTGGCTCCCTCACTAATTTATTTAAATCCCGATTTCTTCAAATTTTCGGGTTCAAGTAAATTTGAAAATAACATGAATTTTCAGGGCGTTAAAATATATCTATTGAATAAATTTGATCCTCAAAATTCCTTAAAATAGTTCTAGAAAATTTCTTTCATTTCGACTTCGTTGTTTCACTTCTCTTCCTCGATTCCTTCAATTCTCCATAAAATCTTTGATAAAGGAACTTTTTTTATGGAGATATTTCGTTTCTTGCATTAAAATTCGAACTGGTCGATTCTCAAAAAGTTAAATTGGGTTGAATCTCAATAGGAACTTTATTAAGCGCGTAAGATGAAGTGTACATAGACACATGAAATACATTACGCACCTTACTTAGTGAAGACGGAAACTTTAGTTGGTAAGTTAGTGATCCAATCCTTTTCTTGATCTCAAATGGAACAACATACCCAGTTGTAAATTTTCCTTTCTTATTCAGCTAAAATCATGTCAATTGGTGAAATAATGATAAACACTTCATCTATAGTTTTAAATTCCATTGATCAACGTTAATTATCTGCATAACTTCATCGGCAATCCTAGGCCGCAATCATATTTTTCTTAATCTTTTCGACCACTTATACCCAGTGACGGTTACAGATATTTTGAGTTAGGAGGGTCCAATCAAAATTTTAAATCAAACAAGTTGATAAAGAAAAAACATATTGTATTTTCTTAGCAACGATCCGTACTGAGAGCGATGAACCTTAGATATAAATGCAAAAATAGTATAGCAATTATTCATTCTAAATTAGATATTTACTAGTCTTCTATGAGTACGTAAGTGGCATTTATAAGGAGAAGTGACACCTGAATTTATTGTGTCATGTATTAGAGGAAAAAAAACTGCAAAATGTTGAGACATCGTAACACGACATAGATTATGCCTATGACGGCAAACATCTAGTCAAATGATCTTACTAAGCCTCTATTTTGAAAACCATTATTTGAAAACTTTTTATTTACAGACTCATTTTCAACCATATATTTACACAATAAAATAATTTGTACGTAAATTCTAAACCTTTCATACTTTTTAACTACGCATTTTTTAAAAAATCACTATTCAAAATATGATTTTGGCCAAATAATGACCGTCAAACAAGAGCCAACTTGACATCATTTTTGAGGTGCGTGATTGAAACAAATTCTTCGAAGATCCCTACAACCACAATCATAGAAGGATTAAACTTCTATTATATACCACGTTTATATGTTGACTTGTTCTCAAGTTCGATTGGTTGAGACATTAAAGGGGAAAAAAAAAGCATTAGATTCCTATTTTCCCCTACTTTTCCTTTCCCATTTCTTCCACAGCCGAGATAAAATTCACTGAACTTCAATTTCCTTCTTAGTTTTCAAATTCCAGTTCGCTAGGAAGAATAGCCTCAATTCCTTGTTCCATTTCCCTCCGTTCTTCTTTTAAATATACTTCTTTGTGAATCCTCTTCTAATTTTCTGCTGCCTATTCAATTATCATTTCCCTTTTCTAGACACAGAGGCAATCGACCCAAATTCTTATCTCCATTTTTCCCATTTTCTATTTCAACTATTTAAGCTGAGGTAACGTAAGTTCATGAATTCCACAACTTTCCATTCAATTTTTTTTTTTTTTTTTTAATATAACGACTTTCTCCATATGCAACATATATTCTGCCCCTTTCATTTTAATTGAGCATAACTAACCTATTTCCTTTATCTTTGAAGCCAATTTCTCATGGGCCGTCTCTCAATTTCCTCTTCGTTTGTTTTGGGTCACTCCATCACTCACACCACTATTAGAATGGAGTAAGCCAATACCGACTTCTCAAAATCACTATTGAATAAGCTCAAAGTTGAAGCTAAAGATTAAAATATTGAATCATAACTCACTTTTAGCATAACTATTAATCAACTCAATATCAAAAACTTTCTTATTACCTCGTGTTTAGTCGGAATAGGGAATTAATTCCTAACAAGGTGAAATTTTCTCCACCGATATTTTTGACCAAGTTTTTATTAATTGACTAAAATTTCAAAATTTGAACAATGTATAATATATATATTTTTCTAAAAGGTCAAAAAATTGGTGGGTCATGTGACCACCCCCGCTTTGTCACTGCTTATACCATAGCATGTCCCATTTCTAGTCTTAGCATGTGTCGTTCACCTACCTTATCCCATTATATGGGCGATTGATATTCCATCCGTACAAAACTTCATACGGAGGCACTCTGATAGATGCTTGAAAACTGTTATTATATGTCAATAGCAATCGATTCTAGTTTCAAAAGAAATTAATATATTTATCCTAAGCATATCCACAAAACTGTGTATCGTCCTTCTATATTTGTCCATCAGTTTGCGAATAGAAGCTGGTACTAAAATATAATTTAATTCCTAATGAATTATGTAAATCTTCCTAAAAAATTTGTAGATCCCTGTTTGTAATCTCAAATAATATCAATCCTTTAAATTATTATGTACACGTTCAATCTGGAAAATGAATATGACTACACATAATAATCTCATTGAAGAGATTATCTATATATATAAATCTCTCTTCCAATAAAATTAACGTGTAGACGAGACCAATCAATAGATTTCGAGCCAATCAATCATCAATCATTAGAATGCAATTTGGCGTATATGGATTCTGAAAAATAGATTAGAGACAGGAAATAGTGATCAACATTCAGCCCTGTGGCTACGTGTATTTTTTCTTGTCGTTTTAATTTTGTATGTAGCGGCGGGGTAGGGTGGGGCGGGGTAGGGTGGGGTTTAGGATATGTCCTGATCAAATGGGACTAAACCTACAAAAATGGTACTTGTGAATACAATTTTGTGGACTCTTTTTCCCGATCACAGGAAATCTCCAAAATTCCATGTACTTGTTCTTCTAATCATACCCTATACAAGACATATTTCATGCTTGTCAATTCAAAAATAATGGTCTTTCCCATTATTATACTTGTTAATATTTTTATGGCGGTGGTGATAATCGTGATGCTTTTGTCGATATCCAGATCAAATTATTTCATATGCATCCATCCCAATCGCAATCATTCACTAGTCAATTCATGTATATGATGATACCTTGGTCTCTCGATTTTGTTGTAGGATACTTATGATATTTTAAATTGACAAGATAAATAAGTTAATCTGCGCCAATTTTGTTTAGGGCCTACGTGACAAGGTCTTTGATAAAAGTTGATCAAATATATAACTAAAAACTTGATAAAACTCTTTCAAAATTTTATCAAACAAGGTGTTGATTATATACAATCCAACTTAATGAGTTGTATCAAGGGGGAGTGATATCAATAGGAGTTGGGGAGACGGAATGGAGCAGCTCAGGATGGTGGAAGCAATTCAACCGGAGGTGAAGTTAGAAACATGAAGACCCGTTCTAAATAAATTAGGATAAAATTGACATTTTAAGGAATAAAATTATAAGGAAAATGCAAATGAAACTCCTCGTCGGCTACACGAGCAATTAATAGTTTTACAACTAAAAGTTTGACTACTCTATTAATAAATTTAAGAAGTGGTATCATATATAAACTCCAAACTAATTAACCTTGTGGACGACAAGATGAACGACGCAAATTGAATCACAATGACCGGAGGATTTTGTAGTTAAACTTCAAGCAACTGCATGTCCATATTTCAACGGGATTGAAGAGTTGGGAGTTGATGATGCATATGACCCTTCTTGATTTAAAGATAAAAGATAGGAAAGATTGTTGCTTACAATTGAGATCGTAAAGAAAGGAATAAATAATGAGTGGAATAGGTGAGCGCGGAAACCTTTGATTACGAGTTCGATTTTCCCTACCAACATTTTTTCGATCGAGTTTGTCGTACAAGGCTTGCTTAGTGCGGTTTATCTGGCTGGCGTGGTTTGCAGGTTATTGCGTCAGTCCGAGGGTTTACCCAGTACGCACTCGAAGGGTAGCGGCTGCGGATTCCTCCATTATATAAAAAAAAAAAAAAAGAATAAAAGAAAAGAAAAGAATAAATAATGAGTTTATGATAAAAAACTGTAACTAACAGATTAATCGTTTAATGAAATTTCGCGTTGCAACAAATATTGTAATGAGACTAACATATTTTATGATGACCGTTGTAAGGTCTTTTTGGCAGATTTATCATTTTCCAATAATGGATAGGCTATATTTCGAACTCATCATGATTATTAATTTCTCCACATTAAATCACCCTTTAATTTACAGTCAGCGACCGGAAAATAACAAAGACAAGACAAACAAAAAGAAAATAGTGACAGCAAAATACATTCAGAATCTGGAATCATCATTTTCCACGTCCTCTAACTATCAATGCCTATTTCTTGCTGCCTGATCCCTAATTTCTCTGTTAAATCTTCGAATGAACTCCTCAACTCTTCTATTCAGTTCTTCAACTGACATGGCCGAAAACTCGTTTTCTTCGACACTCCCTTCATTCATATCGGAAAGTGACCTCTGCAAGACAGTTTTTTCTTCTTGCTTGAACTCCATTGTCATTTTCTCAGAATTGAAGCGAGCGATCTTCTTCTTCTCTTCCTCTTGGCCTGCCCCATTTTTCTGATCAATTTCTTGTTTTCTTTGGTCCAAATTTTCAGTTGGACTTTTGACGTTCTCGTTGATTGTAATTATCTGTTTACCTTCTTCCTCAGTTTCAGTATTCACATGAGCCATTGGCACAGGCACGTGCACATGCATAGCCGTTTTTATAATCTTTTCTTCAGGTAATTTCTGATCAACTGTTTCCTTCTGATAAGTTATTTCCTCCTTTTGATCATCTGGAATTTCTTGAATTCCGAAAGATGAAATATTTCTTGTTCTAGCATTTTTCTCGTACTCTTCTTCGTAAACATCATGCTCTTTTGATGCAGAGAAAGAGCCAAAATCAGCTGCGATGATGAGAATAAGGGTGTTTAATATAAAAAACCAGAATTTGGTAGTACTTAAAACAGTGGAAGGGCAGAGGTTAAAAATATAAAATATGGAAATGTAGATGACAATGGATAAAAGAAAACCCCAAAAGGATTTCAAATTTGTAGTTTTTTCGGGGTACTCTTTGAATTTATGCAAATTCAAGGGATTTTCTGGGAAATCTAGATATTGCACTCCCATTTTTGGAGGAGAGGGAGGGTTGAGACGTTGGGTGGGGAGAGAGTGAGATTTTGGGTTTTGAAGGAGCGTTGGATTTCACGAAGTTGGTGAATTAGTGAATTTATAGGGAGATTCTAAGGGAAAAAGACTGGTCAGGACTTGTGAGGGCCCCCACTACCTCGTCCCTAGAGCTCTGTGAAGGCCCCCACACCCCGCCACTATTAATGTTATGATGCATATTTAGTTATTTGAGTTCAATGCATAAATTGACAAATAATGCTATCTAACACCATTTGGTGCTAAAACACCAATTTAGGCGATCACACTAGATATGTGCAATTAAATGAATCAAGTAAATTTGCACTTAAAGAGAATATATCATTTAGTACTATGTAACTGTCATCTAGATTGATGCTTAACATCAATGACATTAAATAACATTATTCTAAATTAATAAATAGTATTATTTGTCATCATAGTGTCGGATTCTCATATTTAGATGATATTGAATAATACTTTCAAGAATATAAGTTTCATGTTACAACATATAATTGAACTTATAATTTAAAATTTAATGTCAATGAGTTGCAACGTAGGATTAACAATGAAGAAAGATTTCCTGGTCTACTCCTGAATTTGCTGAATTGCACACAGCTTAGTAAATATGCATGATTGATTTCATATAAAACAATATACAATCAAGCCGTTCAACATAAAGGCTTGACACTTTTAAATAATTCAACAATCAATAAATGTTCTCTCACAAAGTAGTTTTTATTTGAATGAATTTTCTAATTCAAAAGTAATCTTGAATCCTGCACACAATCAAGAACTTCCGTTCAAGGTTGTAAATAGTAGTCATCAATGGGTCAAATCTTTTATTTGATGTAAGCTCTCGGAGAAGATTGACCTCTTACTTGTCGAGTAACATCCTTCCTCGTGCTTAGCTTATTGCACAAAATTTTGCAATATTCTAGTATCCTTTTTGGCAGATCTTTACATAGATAAGGTTGTTATAATATTTCTTTCGTATGTATATTGGTTTGATTAAGATTAAGTTTTGCATGATTGATTAATCATTGCAAAGGTTGTAGCTGTATCTTTTCTTCTTGATATGTAATTTTCGCGTTTGATACGAAATTCCAGAAATGAGGCCTAAAATCTTTTTCCAAAAAATCCATCCTAATCTTATTCAAATAATTGGGGATGTGGGACATATTAAATATAGCTGCTTTAGTTTTGTTAATTTCTTATCTTACAAGTGTACTATAAAATTTATTAATTGGGGCCCTTCAATCTTTTATTTTCTTGATTACTATCTGCCAAATAATACTTCACCAGCCGTCGGATTCATGCCATGTGTGCATTTGATGACATAAAAACTTCCGGTTTCTATCGCCGTTACTGTATTAATACTAATTATTTGCGTATGAGAAGGGATAGTCATTCCAAATTTTGTCTATAGTGGAATACAAAATTTCTTGGTCTCCTATTTGATTCGAGAATATTGGCATAGTTGAAGGAGTCTCTCATATTTTATGTTAGCTTAGGTGACAAAAACTTGTGAAATTAGAAAATAAAGCTTAGTGTTGAGTTCATTCTATTTCATCATATTTATACTTTTATATGTTGATTATTATTTTCTTATTTAAGCGATATGAGATTCATCCTTGATATCTTCGGCAAGATGGTGTGGTTCGATCTTCAAATTTGATTATTCATTTGAGCTTTACATTGAATCGAATTACTACTTTCGAATTTTAAATACATCAAGTTGCACTTTTGAACCTTTTAAACTCATAATATATATGTCTTGAAAGTTCATCTTAAAAACAATAAATTTAAGATAACTAATAGTTATTATATATTACTAGTCTATATTACGTGCGATGCACGAGCTGTGCATGAATTATGATTTGGTTAACATATGTATTGAATATGTTTGAAAATATATCGGAAGATGGAATTATTGGCAAGGAACTAACCAGCAAATAATTAAGATAATAGTATACATATTGATGTGTTTGATTATAATTTGTAAATTTGTAAATTCATCGTAGTTAATCATGTGTTTGTATTACAGTCAATGATAGATAAAAAAGAATAAAAATTAACTTCATTACCATGTTAATTACAGAGTATAGCCAGGATAAAATAAATAATGACTGGTTTTTAAGATGAATGATGTAGGAATTACATATACATCATTTGCAATTACTTTTTTTGTTTGGCATCTTTTAATCAGGAAATTATACATACTTAACAAAATAGAATTTCAAGATCAAATTTACAATGAAGACAAACTTCACAAAATGAAATAGCAAAAATTTCACAAAATCAAACAACACTCTTGTCAAAAGGTTGGTTTTACAGAAAATATTTCGACTACCATTTACTCAAGTTTTTCTTTGTGAGCAAATGGATTTGTCTCTGAACTTATATTTTCATCACAAGCCACTTTTGAGCTGGAACTCTCATTGGAAGGTTTGAAAAGGGCTTTCTGGAGGTGATCAATCTTCTTGATAGTCTGTACTAACGCTTTCTCAACATTTTTCCCAACTGCTGTAACCACAACCTGACTGTCAACGTTTGTTTGGATTTTTTGTTCAAGACTTGTATGATCAATATTTGCTTGGAGTTCTTGTCCTGGACTTGGATGGTCTAAGTCTGTTACAGAGATGATATCAAATCTGTAACTTGATGATTTAGGTTCATTTTGCGATGCTTTTAAGTAGAAAACTCGTTCAGTATCCTGCATTTTTTTAATGGTTGCTTCGAAATTTGTCTTTGAACCTTATGTTAATTTTAATTTGTATTAATATTATTATACTAAAATATGTACTGAATGGTAAAATGTTTGAGATAAGTTGGATTTCTTACAAATTTGGTTTCCTCCATCAAAGACTGTGAAGTTTTAAATAATAGTTTCTCAGCTAGTTCATCAATTACATTTGCACTGATTGATCCCGTGACATCTGAAAGACGCACATATGCTCTAGCCTTAAAGTGAAAAAGAAATTAGTATTAATAGATGCAAGAGTAATAAAGAGAAGTAGAAAGGTCATGCATAAGTAAATATTTTACATTCACCAAATGAAGTAAAAAATGAAAAATAATTAATTGTTAGTGTATTTTACCGAGGAATAACTTTGGAATTGGGATTCTTGCAAAAAATACAAAGATATGTTTATCCAAAATCAACATTTGACCGTCTAAAACAGTTGTTGCAGGCCGTGTACCAAGATTTGTTATCAATTTTGTCAGTTGTTGCTGTGTCGTTTACCCAATAAAACTTTCGCTGTTACCAGTATGGATATACTTAGAGAAATTACAAGGAAAAATAAATAATATGATTATGTATATCTTGTAATATATATCTCTATATTAGGAAATAAATACAGATTGAATAGCATACGTAATAATATTACCGTTAGAAGGCGTCCTTGAAGATTTTGAATAGGAGTGAATTTACTTCACACAGGTGGAGAAAGATTTGTGGGGTTTTTGTACATGTATGATTTTTTCAATACAAAATCATCTATTTTAATGGAATTTCTTCTTACCCTAATCAAAAGATATGAAGATAATTAGTAACTCCAATAGTAATGTGTGGAAAAATAATCGAGAGGGAAAAAAAAGAATAATAAAATATAGCACTTTGTATATACTATTCTGTCATTTGTTTTACTGCGTTGAAATGTGTATTTATGAAGAAAGTGTAACGGACTTTCGTGGACAATTTTAAACCTATATAATATCAATATAGAGAATATGTAAAGGATGTAATATATGCCTTAAGAGGAGTTTAAATAATACAATAGAACATACCAAAGAATGATGTAACCTTTAGACGGTTTGCAAAGATGATTGACTTTTTGTCAATAATGTCTGCTATCAATAAGCATTCTCTGTCAACAAATGAATCCCAAAGTGTAAACACCATTGTTTTGAAATTCATATCTAGAAGTATGATATCTTGCAACCAAATTTGGTTGCCATCTTTGAATTGAATCAATCGTTTGGGTGTCATATCAACTGCAACTGCAAGTATATCTACAAATTTGAAATGAGCCATCAATTTTTCTTTTTTCTGAACATAAGCAGTACAAATTTGAAGGAAACTATATTTCTGTAAAATCAGTATATGATTATTTAACATCTATGAAATTTTGTCTTACTTAAATCAGCATCTATATCCATGTATTGTTCGAGTTCATGAAACTGTGTCAGTTGATATTTTGAGAATACAAACTCTAGATTATCGTCATTCAGTTCTTCAATATGAATTTCTTCAGATATTGTCCATTGTAGAGAGCCAGTCGAATATCTGTAGTTTGTCGTATTGTTCTTCACGTAAGCTTTCAAAATAGTATAAGTTTTTCCCAGAACAAGTTGATCCTCAAAAGCAGTGATATTGAAATCATATAAGCTAGCCTGAATAGTATTACCCTGAAAAAAGATGAGGAACTATATAAATAACTATAATATACATGATCTTATATCAAGAAAAAAACAAAACAAAAAACAAAAAGAAATGAAAAAAAATTTATGAAGAAGAATTACCTAGGTATCCATTAACATCAAATGCTGGTACCTTCCATTGCCTTGTCTCGAAGGCTTTGGTGATTGTTTTTCAACTACAATCACTTTAGCTTTTCACTTTTGATTGTTGGAAATAATTTTTGGTAGAAGTTGGTATTGTTCTTCCGTCGTGGCAATTTCGTAACAGAATAATAGAGACAAAATACACACAAAAGGAAGATTTCAATCGCAAATGATTTTGAGATATCCAATTGACAAATAAAAGAAGATATATATAGACATGTAAAATTATATCATATTTGATTTCCCGTACTTTATCTTCTATTCTTAATTTTATTTTTTTATAAAAAGTAATACAAGTATGTACTAAGTAAAATCTTATTATTAGCCATATACTGTCATAACTTGTTGTCTGCATGAGATATGGAGATTACTTGTAATATTCATTTGCTGATAGTACAGAAATAACGTGAGTTCAAGGATTTACACTTAGAGCAAAATATGTAAAACTATATTTTATTCGTTCTCCCTATTATAAATATAATAAAAGGACATCAAAATTTGGATTAAAAAGGAAAAAGATTAAGATTTACACGGTAAAATCTTATCATACCCATTCTCTATTGATTCATAACGACTGAACATAGATATGGGTTGTCAAAGGTTTAAATATGGTACAAGAATGAATCTGAATTA